GACTCTGTGCGACCCCATAGACGGCAGCCCACCAGGCTCCCCCGTCCCTGGGATTCTCCAGGCAAGAACACTGGAGCGGGTTGCCATTGCCTTCTCCCATGCACGAAAGTGAAAAGTGAAAGTGAAGTCGCTTAGTCGTGTCTGACTGGTAGCGACCCCATGGACTGCAGCCTATCAGGCTCCTCCGTCCATGGGATTTTCCAGGCAAGAGTCTTGGAGTGGGGTGCCATTGCCTTCTCCATACATGTCATTATGTAATTGCAATTTTATAAATGACTAGATAGAAATTATAGAAAGCTTATAAGAACAGCACAATAATAGTTTATATATGTAGCCCTCAAATTTATGTCTTAACTTTTTTTTGTCCTATCTATGTCTGAATCTATTGTATTTCTTGTCTGTATCTATACATCTATATATGTATATATGTATCTGTCTATTTATCTATCATCTATCTATAACATCCTGGTTTTTCAACTTTAGTATTGATATTTTAGACAGATATGGTGCTTTATAGAATGTTTAGAGGTATCACTGACCTCTAATCATCATATGCTGGTAGCTTCCACATTCCACTTGTTAACAATTAACATGTCTTCTCAATTTTGACAAATGTCCTTTGGTTAGTAGCATAATTTCCCAGTTGAGAACCAGCAACTCTCTCTGTCTCTCTCACTGTATGTTTTATTGTAGGTAGGAAGATGAAAGGGTTAGTTGCTCAGTCATGTTTGACTCTTTGCAACCCCATGGACTGTAGCCTGCCAGACTCCTCTGTCCTTGGGATTCTCTGGGCCAGAATACTGGGGTGGGTTGCTATTCCCTTCTCCAGGGGATTTTCCCAATTCAGGGATTGAACCCAGATCTAACTGCAGATTCAACCCAGATTGAACTGCAGGCAGATTCTTTACTATCTGAGCCACCAGATGAGTTTATTTTCAAGTATCCTAAACTGGAAAGTTTAATCTGTTTATACTAGCTTTGTATAGTGAAACTCTCCCAGGTGATGATACATAGAACCTATTGACTATGTTGATGTTTCTACCCAGAATAGGTTCTCTAATAAACCTGAATGGAAACACACAATGGAACAGAGCTAAATGAATTCATCCTTATGGGAATTACTGACCACCCTGAGCTGCAGGCTCCATTGTTTGGGCTCTTCCTCATCATCTACATGATCTCAGTGGTGGGCAACTTGGGCATGATCATCCTCACCAAGATGGACTCCAAGCTACAGACACCCATGTACTTCTTTCTTAGACACCTTGCTTTTACAGATCTTGGTTATTCAACAACTGTGGGACCCAAAATGTTCGTAAATTTTGTGGAGAATCAAAATGTAATCTCTTATTACTCTTGTGCTATACAGCTAGCTTTCTTTCTTGTGTTTATTGTTAGTGAAATTTTTATTCTGTCAGCAATGTCTTATGACCGCTATGTGGCCATCTGTAACCCTCTCCTCTACCCAGTCATCATGTCACAAAGAGTGTGTTGGGTGCTAGTAGCGATCCCCTATGTCTATAGCACGTTTGTATCTCTTCTCGTCACTGTAAAATTATTTAATTTATCTTTCTGTGGCTACAGAGTTATCAGTCATTTTTACTGTGACAGTCTTCCTTTG